TACATAGATTGGGGTACCTCCTGCATGGTGCTCTGACTGGGGGGGGGGATCAAGCCTGCAACCTAGGTACATGCCCTTGACCAGAATCAAATCTGGGACCCTTCAGGCCATAGCAAATGCTCTATATCCTCTCAGCCAAACCAGCTAGGGCTTGGTCTTTCTTTACTAGGAATATTTTCTCTCTCAGCTGTAATAAAAAACACAAATTTTAAATCTACTGTGTTCAATTATAAGTAACAGATTTATAAAGAACATTGTAAAAATATTATTAGTGTAAGATTTTGATTTTAAAATTCTGTATTTCATTGTTGTTTTTGTTATGTTTGGCTAAAACTTATTTAAAAAGGATTATCTTTAGTTTGTTTTTAACCATTGCACAGTGAGTTCAATTCTGAAAAACCATACTCTCTAAAATACATCTGTCAATAATATTGCCTGAATGACTTCATGTGATCCTTCATTTACAGAAAATGGGTTACATAATTTTTGAGCAGCTATTTTTGTCTAAATTTATATACTGATACCTGCATTAGGAATTAAAAAAGAGGAGGCCTGATTTATTTACCTATTTAAGTCTACACTGGAGAGAGAATGTCTCTTTTTAATCATCCTTTTGGTTTATCTTTTTGGGCTGTAAATGCTATTTGCTGGAGGACATCACCAGGATCAGGGTGAAATGTGTGCAGCTGCATACTCTCCTCAATGCTCAAGGGTTGTATCTGTGTGTATGTCCCTGCTTTAGTATGCTGTAGCTCTAAAAGTAAACAAAAGTGTTAGATTCATTGGCTGTCAAGCTGTCAGCTAGGAAAAGAATTCCTTCTTCTAATTGAATTTATATGGAGAATTTGGAAGGAATGAAAGGGTGGTTTAATTTTTCCCTAGGTTTTAAAGATGTGATTTATTGTACCTTGTAAAACTAAAAGGGGAAAATGGGGAATGGTAATTATTTTCCATGTCATTAGTTTTTATATTTGTAAAGTTCTAGCTTCCACTCATCCTACCTTGAAAGTTTAGATTTGGTATTAAAACCAAAATAATACTTCTGAGGTTATCCTATGTGTTTGTTGATATACTCCTCCCTCATCTCAGATGTCTGTAATTTAAAAAAAAAAAAGATCTGGGACATTAAAATAGCTACTAATGGACTTATTACCTGCCTGGATTAGGAATGGTAGAAGGGTAGATCTGTAAAATAACCACATCTATAACTTTTCTATGATAAATATAAGAAATCGTATTAATCAACTTATTTGTGAAGTATAGTAACAACTTTGTTACAGTGTTGTCTTTGACAGAGAGGTATGGCCAGTTGTTTGTTTCCCCATTTTAAAATTTTACTTGAGCCCTAGCTGGTTTGGCTCAGTGGATAGAGTGTCAGCCTGCAGACTGAAGGGTCCCAGGTTTGGTTCTAGTCAAGGGCACATGTGCGGGTTGCAGGCTTGATCATCAGTAGGGGGCATGCAGGAGGCAGCCAATCAATAATTCACTATCAGTGATATTTCTATCTCTCCCTCTC